CCTTAACAGCAACCCAGATTATTTATGAGATGTGGGGTTCTTGGTATTGGGACTGTTTAGGGCAGGAATTGCCCAATCCTAGGATGTGCAGCGCTCGAGTGTGTTCATTAGAGAGGTTTTGAGGAATGTAGGTTGTGTGCTGAGCAGAAGTATGAAAACGCAAGAGTGCTATCAAGGGATCGGTAGGCACCAAGGTACGAGCCCGACTATTCGAAAGTGTGCAGTACCACCCCATAAACTAAGCCTTTGAAGTAGTGACACTTCTACAGTACCTACCATGGGGTACCTACTTACTCCGTGGCTTTGCACTGAACTCTCATAGCACGAGATCTGCATTTTTGCTGTAATCTTGTGTGTACTCGTCATGGTCAGCAGTACAGTATCATGCCCTCAAAATGGCTAGCCATTGCTATTGGATTACCTCTGTTTGAATTAGTTGCCACTAATGCCACCAGGCGGGCATTCATACCCAAACGCTACATGATCCTGGTGAGCGGGCTTCTCAGGAAGGAACCCCTTATGTTTGCAAACCCTAAGCTCAGATCTCTAAGAATATCGCTCCTATATGTGCCCGTATACCCTCCTTGAAAGGGAGGCCTGAACCCTAAACCCTTTTTCCGATGTATCTGCTGCAGGCGCAGGCTTGTCCAGCGGGCCTCAGCGGTCGCGATGTGATTGGGGTAGTGCTGCTCCCAGCTGGTCTTAATAAACCCTAAACCCCTAAACCCTAAACCTCTATAAACCCTAGGAGGTTGAGTCAACTTCCTGCGCGAAGAGGGGAGGTGCAGGGTTTAGGGCGCAGGCTTGGGATACCCCAAAGCATGCCTTGCCTGAGAATTCTCTGGAACTGAAAACCCTAGTAACTACACCTACGGAAACAAGGAATGCCCAGACTGAATAAGTGGCGGGCCTTAGACACACATGCGGACAACCAGCCCTCAGTAAGAGCTCAGAAGGAATATGTAATTCGTAGAAATCCAGATGCGTTGCAGCCTGGAGTAGGAGGTTTCTTCACAGTTTATGTAGCATTTCCACGGGGTTCCCATGATGGGCACCTAAAAAACAATTCAGGGGACGCAGCAGGACCCTTGTCTGGACAAATGGCACGACTCCTGGCTCGACTCACATCCTTACAGCAGTCCCCATATAATCGCCAGTGATACAGTAGTTTCTACTTTCTTCGCCATTCCTTCATTCCATGCTAACCAGAGGTAGGTATTGAGGGATTGCCGCAGGGATCCATTGCTTCATGCCTTACTACGACGCCATAGCGCGGATGAGAAAGATGGACGGTTGCCATGATGATAGTCCTTTTTGGCAACCCTGCATAAACAGCCGCGGTTTCCACGTTTAGGCACCCAAACGCATATAATTGATGAAATTCAACATATTCAACAGACATCGGCCACGTTTCTGTCGGAGCTTTGCCAACAGTAAGGCGGAGACTGGATCGGGCAAAACCGTGGCATACCTGATGCCGACGCCAACCTGAAATTCTGGAGTTAAGGGCTCATAAGGCAACAATTCAGGCGTTTTTGCCCTCAGCGATCAACATTGTGTGAAGTATGCGGCGCTTTGTAGCAACACAGAGAGAAGCATCATGATAGGGTCATGGTCGCCATCCTCACCATCATCATCGCTGCAGTTATTATCGTCATCATCATCGCCACCATCATCAATATCATCATCATCATCATCATCATCATCGTTATAAGGCCTCGTCATACATTCTACTAGCCCACTGGATTGACATCAAAATTTGTAAGTAATGCTCTGAGCTTGCATCTTCTGATCGTAGGTTATGCTACTATCTGATTGGTACCGCGTCCCCCACAAACGGATGCAGATAGCTTTCGCACCTTCTGCAATCATGCATGCTCATGGCATACCGAAGTGACCTCATCAATGTCCATATAAACCTTCCCTGGTATATCCCTATATACCGACTCATCTCCATATACCATCATATACCCTTATATGCCCTTATATATCCTTATATGCACCTACGTGTCCCTAGTAGCTTTTTTTTGCCTAAGGCTGCTTGTCCACTGCGCCGCACAGCCTGAGCTGAAGAAAGACGAGGGCCCTGTTGGCCTCGTCCTCTGCCCCACACGTGGCCTGCCTGCTACAGAGGCTTTGGTCTTTTCGAACAGGCTACTATAAGTAATAGGGTATAGGTATAGGGGTATACAGGGTATAGGGGTATATTGGGTATAGAATTGAGGGGGAACCGCGAATGAAATGCAATAGAGAAGTCAAAGAAGAAAGGAAATTGGGTTGAACAAAGGAGATTCATTAGGGATTGCAATGTAGCGATGCCTAAGCAGAGACCAATATTATGGTTCTAGATTTCTTGTATAACTATCGCATAGGATACTTCAAACGGACCTCTGTAACACGGCGGGACTATGAAGCTTTTGGCGCGCTCGTATTTCACATGTCGGCCAAGAAGTATGCGCGAGGGATTTGCGTGGTACAAGTTGGAGCTCGTTGTACAGGTCACCTCAGGTAACTACCATCTGTATTGGCTCCGTTCAGAGAACGAGCATTGCGTCTGACAGGACCCCCTGAGCACGCGAGAGAGAGAGAAGTTGGAGATCGTATGCAAGGAGCCCTGAACCCACAACCCAACACTCTCAACCCTAAAGCTTGAACAACAATTGCAGATCTCTTCCATCCTCCAAGTAGTACAAGCGCGTGGGTGCTTCAAACACTAAGCGCTTGCATGGAGACTTTTTATCCAAAAGTATACTTGCCCGACCATCGCGCAAAATATTGGGCGCATAACACATTTACACCGCAAACGCGTGTGCCATATAAACTCTAAACCCTATAAGCCCTGAACCCTAAGCCCCAAGTCCAAGATGCCGAGGAGAACTGGCTGTCCAGATCGAGAAGGAGGTGTGTCTTGCTGCGGGAGATTTGGTAAAACAACACAAATAACATGGAGAATCAAATGGAAAATGAAACGGAAGCTGTTACTTATAGGTGTTTATAGGGTCGTTTCCCAAGAAAGGGGAACCTTAATATAGACCCCAAATGCCAGTTCCGGCTCCTTTCTCCCATCCCTGGTAGAGTTCTCATAACAAGAGAGTTTGAGAAGGCTTCCAGACCTGTGCCTCTTCTTCCATTGTGCGACTAGTGAGAGCTTGTCAGGTTGTAAATGTTGTAGTGTCGTTTGAAAGCGGTGGTGGCGGCAGCCGACAGCTAAGCAGCACTCATGTAAATATGAGTGGGGTTATAGGTCCCCTGGATTTGGGGGATAGAACCATAACTATCCATCTCAACCCTTACCCTAAACCCTAAACTCTCATCAATTTCCCATAACCCTGCATGCCACTGCAAGAACCAAGGTACAAGTTCAACAAACTGCTTGGCCTGAGAAGCACTACCTTTGCTGGGGGCTTGTCCAAGTACCAGCAGTTCAGGACCATCAAAGGCGCCGCCGGCCTCTTCCCAGTCTGGATGATGACGATGATGAAGAATAGGAGGAGGATCGCAGTAACAATGCGAGATGACAGCAGTACACTCGTTCATGGTAGCAACCTGTTGAAGTACAGTGACAGTCGCTGTGTAACATCATTCGCACACATGTTGAACCCTGCCACTTGCATCACTGCAAGTTTGGTTTGATTGCAACCATGGTGATGACTTGCCTTTTCTAGTTCGAACTTGTCGAACTCGAAGAAAGAACAAACATAAGTTATGCGGCTCCAATGGCAAGCTCAGCATAACGCGTTGCCTTTAGCTTCGAAGCAGGTTTTGCAGCTGAGGTAAGCTAAAGCTGAAGTCCTGTAAGATCCGAGCGTGCCAGGTGGTAGTGAAATCGTCATCGCCACCCCCGGGCGTCTCATCGACATCGTGAAGATGAAAGGCCTCGGGGGCAACTTCCTTTGGTGAGATGTGAAGGCTTTGGTGACGGTACTTGGTAGTTTCCCTAGATAAGGGGTCTCCAATCCAGACCCCGAAATTCTATAATCCTCAGTACTGGGACCCCCAAGAAGGTACCCATGATTTTGGGAACCCCCCATTTCCAAAGAAAATGCGGATTCGGGACGCGAGGCCTTGGGTTGAATAAGTGTTGAAGCGAGGCGGAGGTCTGAAGCTGAAGTGGACATGATTTGTCAGCGTCGCTGAGTTTGTTAGGGGATGATAAGGATATAGTCCCTTTGAATTAGAATATGGCTTTAGGTATATAAAAATACTATCCCCATATACCCCATATTCTATCTACTTTAGGGGGACCATAATCCCAAATGTGGGCCGAGTAAGCGGGCGAGGCTGCAACTTGCGGCGCACCACCTTTGTTGTCCTTGACGAAGCGGACCGAATGTTGCAAATGGGCTTTGAGGAGCGCAGGGTCGATTTCGGCTTAGCATCCTCTTGCCATTGTGAGTACGACTGCTTGCTGTATATTGCATGATATCTTTATCTACATATATATATATTCAGTATACATCTAACAAGGAACATTATACATATATACATGCATGTATATGTTTAGGTTTCAGGGTTCAGGGTTGAGGTCCTCTGTCTGTCGGCAGTAGTTGTGATCGAGCTGAGACGTTTTGTGGGCTTCATGAGCTGGGTGTAAGGGCCGCTGTTGGGCTCACGGTGAACATGCAGACATTGGGAGACACACATTTTCTGCCATGTTACCTATGAACTCCATGGCAGCCATACGCACAAAATGAACAGGAGGTTCTTAAGAAGGAGTGCTGGGTCATTGCTTGTTCATGCTTCTCCGTCTTTATTATAGGCAATATACTGAATAAATTGTCTCCTACATGTATATATCTTTATCTAGATCTAGATGTATACAAATTTGTGCCCCCCACTATCCCTAAGTATCCCATAGGGGCATGTTTCATTCTGTTGCGGCCAGGACCAAATTCGGTCAATCCTCCAAAACGTTCGACCAAAGCGGCAGGCAAGACGCTCCGCAGCGCCAAGGGTCAGGATTCCTTCTCGTTTAGGTTTTAGGGGTTCAGGGTTTAGGGGTTTGGGGGTTTAGGGGTTCAGGGTTTAGGGTTGAGGGTTTAGGGGTTTAGGGGTTCAGGGTTTAGGGTTTAAAGTGTAGGCTTACAGGCAGACATGTCTGTAATCTCCCTTGGTGCTTGGGAGGGAGTGGGAGAATGGATCCGTATAGTGGTCCCTATATAATCCCTAAAATCCATTCCCCCATTCACTCCTAAGCACCGGGGTGTTGGGTACTGCCCCCACCCAGTAACAGTCTATGTTAGGGGTCCTCTTAAGGGCTATATATATAGCCATATTATACTTATTATCCAACTGTCACTGATGGGGGGCAGTACCCAACCTAAACCCTAAACCCTAAACCCTAAACCGTATAGTTTGCATCAGAGCGGTCCAGGCCTTGGCTATGGGAGTTTGCTTGGTGTACTCAAGGATGTTTGCTTTCTGAGCTCCTGCGTCCCTTCTTCGCAGTCTAAAACGTAATCAAGTTCTAGGATAAACCCTCATCCAAAGTTCATCTTATATTGGGGTTATATTAGGGTTATTATATTGGGGTTATATTAGGGTTATGTTGGGGTTATATTGGGGCTATACAAGGGTTATATTGGGGATTCTATAAGGGTTACCAGCGGTACATAATCTTCACATTGTCATTATCAACATCATCATTATCATTGTCAAAGTTGTGCAGCGCCACCAGTCGATGTCGCACAAAGCTTCTCTCAAGTTGATGGAGGTTTGCATGACTGCTCGCAACCTGCTTTGAACCTCCTCCTGATCATCATCCCCCACATACCCCTAAACCCTAAGCCCTAAAACCCTAAACCATACAACCCTAAACCCTAAAACCCAAGCCCCTACAAAGCTGTTTCAAACCTCCTCGCTCCTCCCCTGCCCTGCAGACTTTGCTCTTCTCAGCCACGATGCCCCCGCGCATTGAGCGCCTGGCAGCCGATTTCCTGGACCAGCCTGTGCGGATAACAGTGCCCTGCTTTAGGACTTAAAGGGATATTATAGGGGTTTAGGGTT